TTTTACTGTCAAATGTGTAACACATTTATTAAACGTCTAAATATTCAGTTATTTTACAAAGTGACTGAAAAACATTTCCATCTGTATTATTATGACAACGAATTCCAAACATTTTGATGTTTAATGTCATCACCAAGAGACTGAAAATGTAACGTTGAAAAGTACATTTCTAAGTTGTTTGGCTTTTAATCCTGCATAATAATCTGTTGTGATGTTTGTAGGCCCTTTTGATCGTCTTGATCAATCTGGACAGATATTTTAGTCAAAATGACTGAAATATTTACACATTTTATAAATTGCCTGAGAGAATCACATTTTACAAATTGACGGTAATATATACACGCTTGCAAAGGAAAAGACCTGTGAAAACAACGTCTATCGCGCATTGAAGAATTTCCCAACCAAGACGTAGAGAAACAAGAATGAATCGGTTCAAATGAAGGAAAACAAAATGCAAATACCATAATTACAACCTACCAAATTTATGTTTATAAATTTTAAGCAGCTTCCTTGTTCGAGGAATGTATCCGTGAATATCCACACAAAGGAACAATATCCCACTCGTCTGCAGCTGTACAAAGAAACTTATTCGATGTCACGAGGTCGTGTCTCTGTAACAATCAAATATTTTAAAAGATATATACCCTTTCGGGATATTATAACCCGTGTTCGTTTCTCAACTGATCACTTGGATTGTTTCAGGTGTTTCACATAGGTGTCAAGTCTCAAAGGTCGCTTTAGAAAGCCCACGTGACAACTATTTTCATAACGTCCACGGTTCCTAAAAAGTCCATTGAGTGATTGATAACAATGATCAATCAATCAACGTATTATCAGTTAACCCTTTGAACAAAGTATGCTGTTTTTACATCGGTACTTCACGCCATGATATGAGTGTATTCCCTTTGTTTTAGTAAACCTAGACATGTAAACAATCACTTTTGACATATCCACTGGGCTGCCACGTGCATTTTACATAACACACATTTCATCTCACTTCAAACCTGGATTTAGATTGAATAATTACCCCAGACACAACAAATGCCAAATGGGAACCTTTGTCAGGTAATCTAAGTGGTGCTACCACTAATTGTACCTGTAATAAATTCATTAACTGAGCATCAAGTGAATGACGACAAATACACAAGTGTAGGGTTATACGAGAAAACGTGGATGACAACAAGGGAGTAGTAATCGTATTATCGACGCAAGCCGAAATCCGAAAATGCTTTCACTGCATGGATACGGTTTTTAGTATTAAACTATAACCATCTGGGGTATTTCCAAATGAAGACATCCGATGAGCTCCCTTGTTCTTTTTGTCTGTTTGTTTAGACTGAAGAAATTAATTAACATGCGCTTACTTACTTACTTTGGAGATTTAACGTGCGCTTTCCGACTGATGCGTATTTCGCACACGGGCCCGGCCAGGCCATTTAATGTGTTTCCGAAAGTGGCGAAAGTGGTCTGTGCAACCCAAGAGGGGGGTTTTAGGGGTTGCTTATATAGAATTTGGGAATTTTGAGATTTGGAATAGATGCCGATGGGATTGGGGAGGAGAACTAAGGGAGCTGGGTATGGTGGATGTTTGTTTGTTTATGTGATTTTGATTTGGTAGGTTATTGTGTTTTTAAATGCGTTTTATTAGTTCCGTTTTTATTAAGAATACGCCTAAGGCCTTGAAGTTTTCTAGTTTATTTTGTGGGTTTAGTATTGCTTCTAGAGTTAGAGCCTTGTTTAGATTGAGGGTGGTTTGTAATGCGGTTCGATGTGTTAGGTAGTGTGTGCAGTGGATGAGTGCGTGTTCTGGGGTTTCTGGTTGTTTGCAGTGTGGGCAGTTACCTGTAGTGTGTTTTTTTTAATTTTTTAGGTGGTTATTTAGGTTGGTGTGTCCTGTTTGGAGTTTAGTGATTACCCTGTCGATTTTTTGGATGGATGGAGAATTTTTGGTTTGGTTAGTGGTTTGCTGAGCACTTTTTTGATTTGGCCATTTGAGTTTAGATATAGGTTATGCCATTCTTTTGTGATTTTTTGCTTGTTTACACTTTTAATTTCTGATTTTGAGATGGGTAAATTTAAGCTTATTTCTGGGATTTTGAGGGATAGTTTAGCTGCTTTATCTGCGTTTTCATTACCGTATATTCCTACGTGGGCGGGTATCCACAAGAAGGTTATTTGTTTGCCTGCCTTAGTTAGGTCGTTGGAGCTTTTAAGTATTTGATTTATTAATTTAGGTCGGTTTTTGGTGTTTTTGTTTTGGAGGGCTTGCAGTCCACTTAGGGAGTCGGTAAGTATTAGGATTTTTTTATGTGCCCTTTGTCGAAATCTTTATAGATCACAGTTAACCAATCAGTGTTCAAAAATGCGTAAAACAAATATTGCCTCCAGCCTCCAAGTTTATTTAGCTGTCCTTGCAGACGGTACCCTGGTCTCTGGTCACGCTCAGTTGCGTTGCGGATCATCCGGGTACTCACGGGGGAAAAACAATAACAAAGGCAACAACCAGTCCGTTAGATCAGTGCCCCTTTAAAGTGACGAGTGGACCCAGTTAGCACCTCATTATATACAGAGCCTCTTCCAGAGTATCTGAGATGTGTAGCGAGTATGAGGACAAATCACTAAATACTGAACATTTCTGGTAATTCCATCAAATACTTTTTGATTTTTGGCTTGTCAAAGTTATCCTAGCATTCCACCACTGACCCTAGCATTCCACCACTGACGTCTTTGGCACTAATCAACATTAATATGGAGTGTAGTTTGGATTAATTCGTGGAAAGAGACAGCTAATCACCAAGTCAGAACTACGTATAGTAGAAGGGTGTCTAACCATTTAAGGATCGCAAAGTGGTGTTTGATTGGCAAATGGTCCCCAACCCTGATAATCATGAAGGGTATATGATCGGAAAGGGTACCTAACGCTTACGATTGTCCTGGCTTGTGCGTGATCGGGAAAAAGGAATCTGAGGGCTAAGGATAAAGTTAGGGGTAACCTACTCTAACCCTAAGGGTCGAAGAGGCACGCGAGATCTTTGAAGCGAGAGCCACTGACTGAGGCAAATAGGTGCACTTTATATTAGTGTAATTGGCTACTAACCATTATCAGAATACCAGCTCCCAGCATGAGCGGCACGGCGAACTTTGGACATGGTTGACCCAATCTTGACGGCACCACAATGTTTTATGCTGAAATAGAGGCAAGTAACGACAATGGCTTTCCGTGTGCCTTCCTCGAATAACACCAATATCACTCTCTTCGGCTGCAACGGACTAACACGGAAGTACGATGGCCCACACATGCGCAGTAATACCATTCGAATCGCTTATTAGGGATTTCCCAAAAGTCGAACTGGACCATACCGGATGAACGTTATTACTAATTACTTCATTACCTGGATGCGACATGTACACGTGACATTAATGAACAATGACAAACGTCCTACATAATTAAGTTATTGCGAGGGAATCGCTTGAAAATTAGGAAGGCGAGTGGTCGGCTGTGCTAAGGGTACGTGTAGAAGAGGAATCGTTAAGCGAAATAGGATTTGAAACGTATATACTTCCAACTATCAAATTTCCATCTGTCCAACATAGCGTTTACATCTCTAGGATAGTACTTTATCTCAGTAAAGACCAGTTTATAATGTTACTGTTAATCATATTGAAAGCAGACACCTTGATCAATGTGAAGCACGTTGCCCCCGAGATTCTCAGCATTGGATGGTTTCCTGTACAATACCCCAAACTGACATTTCCCCACATAAGATTTCCCCCAAATTGAATATGAAAATAATAGAAAATAGAAAACATAATATTATAATACGGTTCTATTTGCAAACTATAATGTATTTTAAAATTCATCATCATTTTTCAAGTTCACTAAAATGTCACTAGCTAGAGGCTGTCACAGATAAACATGCCAAGATTGACAAGAAATCAGCGACACCAAGCCCTTGGACAATTGCAAGCTGGACAAACCGCCCGGCAAGTAGTCAACGCATTTCAAGTCCACGTAAGGACCATATACAGACTCAAGCAACACTACAGATGACCGACCACGCAGTGGAAGACCAAAGTAGTTGTATGTCAAGTCATGGGACACCAAACGTCTGTATTTTTCGTTCACTTCTCCATCAGGACAAAACACGCACAAGTATTCGCAGGGGACTTTGGCGTGCTTCAGATGTTCTTTCCAGGGTTGGTCTGTGGCTTCCCATTGGCGGAGTGTCACACTGCAGCAATAACAGATAACACGGTCACCTCGTCCTGGATAGAAATAGCCAGCCATGGCCATGTCATAAGGGGTCTGGGTCATCTGTTTAGGCCACGTTTGAAAAGATCTCAGACGTTCTTGAAATGAATCATAGTTGGGATGAGAAGGATGACACAAGGTGTAAGAAGGAAAAGGTCTCTCCAGAATGTCACTGAGTCGCCATGTGTCGTCCATCAAGAGTGTGTCGTCCATAAAGAGTGGACGTTTTCTCGCTTCTTGTTCTCCCGCCTTATCAGACACCCACTCGGAATCGGTGACGACATCTCGTCTTTGCTCCATGATGACTGTGACTTCACTGAAAGAAGGTCTGAGGGTTCGCCTGCTTTTATGAAACTCTCCACCCTACTCACTTCAACGGAAGGTCATGACCTTAGCTTACACCTCCTCCACCTCCTCCACCTCATTACGTGACGTCATCCTGTGTTTGGGTTGACGGACACACGACATGATGCATGACATGATACATGACATGACATGGCACACGGTGGGTGTGGGGTATCGGTGCGTACTGGAATGACTGACACCAGGCAGCTGATCTTTCAAGCATAGCCTTTCTCTTTTATCTATTTTTATTTTAATTTTACACTTTGGTGTGCACTGACATGACAGACGCACAGACAGACAGACAGACAGACGGACAAACGACGTAAACGACATCTCAACTCAACCTCTACTCTCGGTTCGGCATTCTATTTGAGTTGAGATCAATCAAGACACAAAGAGTCAGTTCAATCAATCACTGTTTAATAATGAAAAAACCAATCACAACCAGATACAATGGAAATACGAAAAGTCAATGGAGGAGGGAGTGCTTTGCATGTCCCTACAACAACAACAACAATAACGCGACAACGTTTTCCTCTTCCATCTTCAAGCTCTTCCGTCTTCAATCCCATAAGAGGTGGTCCTCCCTCAAACATGTGAGAGGTCCATCCGTTCAACACGTACAGTCTATGGCCTCCCTGAAACAGACATGACACATCACTTGATCACGGTTGCAGCTTACGTGTTGTAAAGTTCTTCGAGTGAAGAGGAGGATCACCATAAGATGTGATCCTCAGATGCGATAGGCATGTCATCATGTGTCACTATGCTGTCATAGGTCAACATACAAGTACAGTCTATGAGCTCCAGACCACAGGCATGACACATCACTTGCCCACTGTTGCAACTGATGTATCTTAACATGTTGTTGTGTCGGCAAACACGACATTCGCGTTGTAGGGGAGTGAGTTGAGCTTCTCCATAAGGATCCAGGTCAACGTTGTCATCATCATCATCATCATCGTCGCAAACCATGGGCATACCTGAGGAGTAGACGTGAACATCTTCCGGTGATGCTGGTGACCAAGAAGCCTCAAGCAGGGGGAGCGTGTCCAGATCCATGGAAGGGAGAGTGGCCAGCTTGAGCGCTTCATGATCATCAAGGTCACCCGTCGCCATCGTCACAGGGGAATTCGGTGAATAGGTGGGCTCCCGAGGGGTTTGTTCCCACCACTGTTCTAGCACGGACTGGGCTGAACTGACATCAGGGGTCCTGTCAATCATAGGACAGAGTCCATTCATCATATGCATAGGTATAGTCATCATCAACATCGACATCATCATCATCATCATCATCAACATCGACATCACATCAAGAATGACTGAGACAAAGAAGAGCAGGGTACTTACAGTTGATCTTGAGGAGAGATCTTCAGAGATAATTTCTTCCGTGATCGTTTTTTTGCAGACGTTGCAGGTGTTGCAGGTTTCAAAAAGGATGTCCCCATCGTTTCGGTGTCTGTTGTCGCTGCTGCAGTTGTTGCTGTGGCTGCTGTGGTGGTGGTGGTGGTGACTGGCGCTGTGGTGGTGGTGGTGGGGGGTGTTGCTGCTGCTGCTGCTGTGGGGACAACAACTGCTGTGGGTTTGCTCGTCTTTTTCTTCTGGATCTTATTTATCGTCTTCTTCGATGTTCCTTTCTGGGGTTCAGTCAGCTTCCTCATCTTTGAACGTATCTGTTCGCACATCATGTCGTCGCCCTTCGCACGTAACTTGGCGTACGCGTCGTCGGTCTTCATCTTTAAACACAGCAAGTCATACACTTCACCCCACAGTTCAGCAGTCATTTCACCGCTCCCATCTCCACTGCTTCCTTGGCCACTCATGTCGCTTCGTGTCTTGTCGTTCAACCGTTTCGTCATGTTGTTCGACATGATTTTGTCCGGATGTTCTGTTCGTTGTTGTTGTTTCTTTCCAAGTCTTCACGGAGGTGCGTCAACACTTGATGGTACTCTCTCCAAACACGTGTTTCTTCCAGATAAAACGCCAACAACCAACACAACGTGAGGAACATCAATCAGAGGGACGATGTTGTTGCTCGGTCCGTTCAGTGAAAAGTGATGACCGGAGAGCGTCGGTCGTATTAAAAGCCACGGAGGTCCTGCTTTCTGATTGGTCCGTTCCGGTGTCTGGTCTGAGTCTCAATTTTTTCCAAACTGGACCGACCCTTGTGTTTGTTTTCCATAGGGTTAGGCTTGTAGCGTGAGAGAGAAAACACAACCTCGGTTCGACCAATCAGAGCCCACCATGGCCCGAGCGCGGCCGCTGATTGGTCGACAACCCAGGCTTCGGATTGGTCAGATTTCAATCCGTTTTTTTCTGTAGGGGTCCATGTCGATTCAGTTTCAATCCGCGTCGCATTGGTGCGTCCTCCATAGAAGGCGTCGCGAGGGTTGAGCGGCCCTGGGACGTGGATACAGTGGGGTCCCTGCAAGAAAGCACGCAGAGCGGAGTCCTCCCATTGCATTTTCGTAAACTCGTGCTCCCACAGGGTGACGATCCGTTTCACCTCAGGGTGTTGACTCAAGAGACTCAAGCGGTAGCGGGTGTCGGTGTAACGGGCTCCCAACGACGTGCCCAGGACGGGATGCGGTTCTCCACGTCGGGTCTTGTGACAGGTCTGGCACCCATGCCAGAAACAGCCCATGAATTCGTAGATGGTGCCTGTCGCTGGATCGTAGCCATCCACGCTGTACCGATGGTGGCCCTCTCCACACGTGAACTCTTGTTCACCTCCATTCCTGGCGTGCTGGAGGTGCAGATGGGGGTCCGTTTCCATCAGATAGTGGAGCCAGTGCATACAGGCCTGGGAATAGTTTCTCTTGGGTTGGTAGCCTTGAGGTGGAAGAATGGCAATGGTATTGGGTTTCAGGTCGTGTTTTCGGAAGGATTTCATGGTGAACGCAGCAGCTGTCAACACTTCTACAAAGGGATCCATGCCAACCAAGTGGATGGCGTTCTGTCGGAAGTCGGCGCATCCCCGTCTCAAAATGTCCACATCGCTCTGGCAGTAAGCTAAAAGTTCTCCTTGTAAGTCGAACAAAGCTCCTTCTTGCACTTTTTGAGTATGCCACTGGAGGAAGACTGTGCGTTCTGCGGGAGACATGCCATCGGGATCGTACGTGACGGCTGGTGGATAGGGACCTCTGTAGGTCTGGTTGACTCCCGTATTGAAAAAGTGCGGAAAGTACCCTTTCTTCATTTCTTTCAGCCCAAAGCTCTTGGAAAAGGCTTTCAGGGGGTAAGGGATGAAATTTAAGCTGTCTTCGAAACACAACTGTCCCAGGGTCATCTGCAAAATGGCCATGTCGGATCTTGGTGGGGAGTGTGACCAGGAGGGGGGGACAGGCCCTTCAGGATCAAGTGTAAATCATACGATCGTGCATTGTGGGCAATCACATAAATGCCATCCTCCTTCAGGACTGTATGGCAAGTGGTGTTCTTGTTCTTTGGCTTCTTTGTTTTCTCCACTTCCATGACCTCTTCCCCCTCCCCCTCCTCCGCCTCCTGCTGGGGTGATGCATGTCGTTGACGTTTGGAAGCGTACTTTCTTGAGGGGGTGTCATCCTGTTTTCTTTTTTTTCCCCAGGCGGTCTGTTGTCCCCTTGCGTGTGCTGCCCTCCTCTTCCTCTTGGTGGGGCTTCTTCTTGGGTTTTTCAGCCAACGTGGTCAACCACACACACACATCATGTCGCATGGTGGGGCCTCGAAACACGATCTCACGGCTGGGACCATATCCTTCTTCTCTCCATGGACAGTGTTCGCACAAGTCCTTGCTGACTTCACTGATGCACCGTCCACATCCCAGTTGCACCACGCACAAATTTGGAATGTGTTCCCCCGTGTCTTGCATGCATTCAAAATCGTAGAAGGCATATTGGACATTGTCTCGTACGTGATGTTGTTCCTCTTCCTCCTCCGCTTCCTCTCCCTCCCCCTCCTCCCCCTCCTCCTCCTCGTTTTCTTCACGGAGAGGCGTCATGTAACAGCGATGGTCTGGGGTCATGGGTTCTCAGCACACCAAGCAGGGATGTTCTTCGTCGAAGCACTCGTGGTGAACCATGGGGGTCTCCAAGACGCGGACCAGATGAAAACAGGTCGGGCACCTGTGAATCGATTGACAGGCGCTTGGTTTTCCCTCTGACGGTGACTGGAGATGTTGAGTGTAACACGATTGATTGGAGAACCAACGTTGACATGTCAAGCAAGGGATCCCGTGCTCTTCCTGGGGCTTGCAATAGCTAGAGTGGAGGCAGCGGTGACAGCGGTATTCCTTAGTGCAGGGATGGGTTTCGGGATGATCGTTACGTTTGTCGCAGCGTTCGCAGTAATGGTTAGAGCTATAAAAAGCGGGCATGGAAGTGATGACATCGTAGTGCTAAGCATGATGATATACATACAGCACGGTGGCGTGGGGTGGAGCCTCATCACACTTGTACAACAGTCTCTGGTCTACCTCTTGACTGTAGACTTTCAGTTGATAATTCAGGGGGACCAAGACGCGTCCCACGCGTGCGAGGTCGTCCAGGCCTTGACAGGGGCCTTCAGGCAGGCCAAGGCGTCGAAACAAGTCCTGTGCCCGTATGCCTTGAACGTTGACGCGATCCGTTCTCGTCAGTCTCATTCGCTCGGCGGTCCATTCTTGGGTCAAAGGATGGGGCTTCTGGGCATAATGTTGTGCCACCACCAGGGCCCGTGCCAAACAGGATTGATCTTCGTTCTTGATCCGTACAATGCACCGTTTGCGTGTTAAAAAGGCTTTGAGTCCAATCACGTGTTTCAGGTGATGACCACCACTGCCCGATCCTAGCCTGTCGGGATCTGCGACGTGTACTAAAGTCACAACCATGGTGGCATCGATGTTTAGGTCTTTGTTGGACTGTTGGACTTTTTCCACGGCATGCAAAATATCGAGCCCATGGAGATCTTCAAAGCGGCGAAAGGGAATCCGTATGGGGGTGTTCAAAGCGGGATGATCGATACCTAGACCAATACGATCTCCATTCTGGCCTGACATCTGTTCATAAAAGTCATCGATTACCCTGTCAAATAAAACTGGCAGTTCTATCATGGAACTGTTCTGGGTGAACAATACCTTCCAAATGACATGCTGGTTTTCTTGGGGAATTAGTCAGCAAAGAGCCAGAGTCACAGGAGACTAATCACAATTTTATTTACAAGAACAATTAACAATTTACAATATCTTAGAATATAACTGAGGGTGCCACAGAGAGTCGGTACACACTCTGGGCTGTGGGAGAGAGGTCTGCTTGGTAAGAGAGTCAAACCCCTTCTCTCCTTAAAACCTGCCTACAGTATGTATTTAACAAAAATTTAAACAATAGAAAGGAATGTGATTGGATGATACACGCTTGGTTGTGTCCTAAGCTAAATGGATGGCTAGACAGAGGGGAATACTAAATCCTGTTTATCCTGTTGGACTGGCACTAATCTTGTTGACATATTTACTGGATGTTTTGAAAGAGATTAGGGTGTCACTATAGATGAGCTTGTGTGGGGGCTAATCCTTAATGCCCTATAGACGAGCTTGTATGGGGGCTAATCCTTAATGCACTATGGACGAGCTTGTATGGGGGCTAATCCTTAATGAGTCTTAATTGAAGTAATGTTATTCTAATATACCCCGGTAGGTGATGACAGATATACTTAAATAAATATCCTTTGTCTGGGAGATGGGATCTTGATACCTTAGGCTAGCATTTATCTAAAAGCTTCAAATCAATTAAACTATGTAGACGTAACTCTTGTCTTATTGAATAGTATGTCTAGAAGACGCGCTCCCATTACCTTAGGCTAGCAACCATCTAAAACAGCTTTAACTGAAACTACTGATATTTTATATATGCATTTTACCTAATGATATTTATTACTTGGTCAACTATAATTATATGAAATGATGTATAATTATTACACCACGATAACTCATAAAAGCACTTGATGTAGATCTAATTATTATAAGATAACTTAGTATAAATGTTATCCCATGATAACTTCCCCTCCGTCTGAAAAAGTTTGGACCCCAAACGTGTAAAAATAAAAATAATTAAGGCTTAGATGGACAATGTATAAAGTTAAACTGGTAGTAGTGAATAATAATTATTATAGAGTCTCTTTGATATAAGGAAACATAATATAAAAATGCTGTCATCAGGGGTTCTGGATGTGGAGCTGGCTTGTCTTGGCACTCTGTACTGGTGGCTTTATGGGTGATGTAGGAGGCCTTGAGTTCCACATCCTGGATTGGGGTTGTAAGGTAGTAGGCTGTGTCCATGGAGGTGTTACATGGAAACAAAGAAAAGAGAGTTAGCATGTTCAAATAATATGTCATATATAAATATTTCCTTAGTTTGTCTGTAATAACTAGAAAATAAAACAAATATGATAATTATGATGTAAAAGATCAGTACATAATTATTACTAAACGGTGTCATGACCAGGAAGGATGTATTGGCGGCAAATTACAAAAGTTTATCATGAAAAAAATAGTAATATCCTTCTACTTTTGGATACAAACATTAGACACATTATATGTGCATGTGCATATAACAAGTGCCCTGATTAGTAACATTAATACGGTATACAAAAGGTGTATATCATTGTTAGTTTTCGTAACTATTTGGTTTGCCTTTTTTTTGTTTTGGTTCATTTCGGTTGTTAAGTTTACTTTATTTGAATTTGGTTTGTTTCGCTTTGATTTTCCTTCGGTTCAATGCGATAGGGTTTAGTTTATTTTGCTTCGGTACGGTTTTTGGGTTCGATTCCCAGTATGGTTTGGTTCGCTTAGGTACGCTTTGGGTTCGATTCCCAGTATGGTTTGGTTTGCTTCGGTACGGTTTGGTTCGCTTCGGTAGGGTTTGGGTTTGCTTCGGTACGTTTTGGGTTCGATTCCCAGTATGGTTCAGTTCGCTTCGGTACGGGTTGGGTTCGCTTCGGTGGGGTTTGGGTTTGCTTCGGTACGTTTTGGGTTCGGTTCGCTTCGGTACGGGTTGGGTTCGCTTCGGTGGGGTTATTGAGGTATGGTTCTGGAGGATACTGTGGACGATCAGCAGGATCAAAATATGGCTTCAGACGGTTGGCATGGACCAGTGGTTTGTGTATTTTGTCGTCAGAACTTCGGCGTAGTTTGTAGGTATAATTTGGACCTGTATGGATGATATAATAGCTACCATACCACTTTTTGGTTAATTTGTTGGAAAGGCCTTTTTCAACTTTTTGACAGTAGAGCCAAACTCTTTGACCTGGGGCGAATTCTGGTTCTTTAGCCTTTCTATTATATTGTTCTGAATACACCTCCTTAGCCCGAGCAGTGTTTTCAGCTGCGATTGTTCTAGTGATTTCAAGCTCCTCAAGCAAATTGGAAAGATAACTTTTGTTATTGTGGCCTAAATTTTCTTTTGGAATTAATGCTACATCTTGTGGAGCTCTCATTTCGCGGCCGAAAAGCATAACATATGGGGATTTTTGAGTTGATGAATTTGGAGCCATCCGATAGGCCATCATGATGCCAGGAATAAAACGGGGCCAATCATTTTGAGACTTGTTACAATAGGCTCTTAGTGATTGATTGATGTAAGAGTTGAGCCTTTCTACACAGCTGTTTGTTTGAGGATGGTATGGGCTGGTATGGGTAAATTTAATTGCCAAAAGTTCACAAATTGCATTGATAAGTTTGGACATGAAATTCTGACCTCTGTCTGAAATTAAGGTCCTTGGAGCGCCATACCGACAAAATATTTCTCTGACGAAAACATCTGCTACTTCTTTGGCTTCTTGGGTCCGAAGTGGAAAGGCTTCACACCATCTAGATGAAGCATCTGTGATCACCAAAATGTACTTGTACCTATCTGGTGTTGTTGGCAGGGGACCGAGAATGTCAATGTGCCATCGGGTGAAGACCTCTTCTACAGGTAGTGGACGAAGTGGTGCCTTCTTGCCATGGTAGTGCCTTTTGGTCTGTTGACATACCTCACATGTCTGGACATAAGTAGCAATATCGCTGTACATTTTGGGCCAGTAGTACTTAGGTCTCATGGTGTTGTGCATCCTTTCTTTCCCATGGTGGCAACCGCCAAACTCTGAGTCATGATAGGATTGCAGGACTTGATTTCTGAGGGTTCTTGGGACTGCCAGCTGTTTAATGAACTTGTCTGCGTGGCCTTTCTGTCTTTGTGGAACGAATCTGTATAGGATGCCTTCATCAATTTCAAAAGTATTGGCTTCGATAAGAATCTTTTGACGATCCTTTTCATTTTGTGGAAGGACATCATCCTCTTTGTAGTCAAAGATTTGGATGAAATCTGGACAAATCCTTTGTAGGTGACGTAAATTTGGATGTTCTTTTATACTTACTTCAACCAATGTGTCTTGTGTAACATCAGCATTTGTAGCATGTAATGCTGCGACAACATTAACTGGTACTGACTGATAATCCTCTTCATATTCAAAGGTGACTGACCAATGTGTTGTCTGTGTGTCTGATTCTAAGTGATTGACAATGGGTGTGCAAATATCCTCAGTCTGAGTTGTCTGTGTGACTTGTGTTGATGAATGGGTGTTTGGCAAGATTGTGGTACTGCTAGTTGTTTTGCTTTGCTGAGTTGAAGTTACTGAGAAGACTGTTTTCTCAGCATCTTCTTCTGTCTGATCATTACAGTTAATATTTTCCTCATATTCCCTACGTGAGAGAGCATCGGCATTCCCATTGGCTTTGCCGCTGTGGTGAACAATGTCAAAAGTGTAGGTAGAAAGTTCCAAAGACCATCGACCTAACCTACCTGTGGCATCCTTGATGGATTTCAGCCACTTCAATGCTATATGATCAGTGTAGACTGTGAATTTGGAATT